TGGGTACGGGCAGGCGCTGGGCCTTTAGGAGGAGACAAGACAGGGCCAGTGTGAGGGAAGGTGGGGCCAGAGCTGGCCAGGGAGCGGAGGGCAGGCAGGGGAAGGTCTGCAGCGGGCACTGCAGGCTGGGAGAGCAAAAGGATTGAGCCTGGAGGAAACGTTGCCAAGGCTGAGTGGGTGGGGGTGGCACTGGGGAGAAGAGCACCTGCTTGCCTTTGGTATCATATTTGCTACAGATACACATGGTGCAAGTCCCATGAATGGGACGGGGGGGAGGGGGGCAATTCATGATCTTGCCACAGGGAGCCCACATTACCCATCACAGCTCAAGGCAGCATGATACAGAGGGTGAGGAAGGGGCTATGGGGGGAGCTGAGGCCTGTCCAAGGGGTGGCGTGTAAGCACAGCCTTGATAGGTCAGGTGCTCTGGCAGGTGGAGAAAGTAGTGGCAGGGAGGCGAAGGCAGACACAGCGTTCAGTCTCAGGGAGTTAGGAGACCAGAGAACACTGGGAGTGTAGATCCACCTCAACTGTCAGACCCTCTCTTCAGGGCTTGGAAATTCAATGCCCTTACCACACAGAGTAGGCAGTGGAAGACACTCATTACTTTGTACTTCAAACTCCACCTCATGTCAGCACAAGCTTAATCTCTTTAGTCTGTGAACGATTCTGGACCTTTCCATGCATTCTGAATATCTTCCTTGTCTCCAGTCCTCTCGTGTCCTAAGGGCAAAGGCATCAACCTCTCCTGAAGGCGGGTGGGACCACATGAGCCAACCTCAGGCAATGTGGAGGGGATGTAGTAGTGGCTGGCCAGGAGTGCAGCCTGCCTGCCTGCCTTTAAGCCCTAGCCCCTTCACTTAGGAGCCATGGGACTTGACTTTCAGTAAGTGGTGGCCACGTGCGCGTAGATGTTCCAAAACTTCTGCATTTGTACACAGTTGCTAGTGACACTGGTCTTCACTGGTCAAAGGACCACCTTGACTCCTTGATGGCCACAAGGATCTCACTCATGAGCCAGGAAAGTGGGCTGGACTGAAGATAATGAATGTCAGATACCCGGCACAATTTGCAAACAGCAGGAACTGAAGAGATACATTACGATCAGCAAGACTGGGATCTGCTTCCCTCTCCCTGCATGATGGTGCTGAGCCTAAGAAGTAATATCTATCTCTCCTGTCTCTTCCCCTACCCGTCTCCAGGGAACATGTGGGCACAGACCTGGTCCAACATCTATGATTTGGTGGTTCCCTTCCCTTCAGCCCCCAAGATGGATGTCACGGAGGCCATGATAAAGCAGGTTTGCACCTGTCCTCTCTGGACACTCTTGCTCCCCCGGAGGGGCCCAGGGCACAGGGGCGGGAAGGCCCTGCCCTGGGGGATGGGCCCTTTGAGCCTGGTCCTTCGGCTTGGCCCTCACCCAGCACCCTCCCCCGCTGGGGCACACAGTCTGTCCCCAGTTTGGGCAGAGCTCCCTCGGTTTGCAGGGATGGACACCCAGAAGGATGTTTGAGGAAGCAAACAATTTCTTCATCTCCTTGGGACTGCTGCCCGTGCCCCCCGACTTCTGGAACAAATCGATGCTGGAGAAGCCAACCGACGGGCGGGAGGTGGTGTGCCATGCCTCCGCCTGGGACTTCTTCAATGGCAACGACTTCAGGTGCGTCCAAGGAACTTCACCCTGAGTCCATAGGCGAGGGGAGGAGCCAAGTAAAGGCTCCACTGTGTGCCCTCTCGGCCAGAGCGAGCAGAAACAGGTGCAGAGGCCAGAGTTGAGATGGAAGGTCCAGAGTATGGGCCCTGGCCTCAGCTTGGCCACTGGCTTCTGGCTGTGAGGGTCTTTTCACATGCCAGCCAGCTCTGCCAGCCTGGTTAGCTGTCAGCACCCAAGATCCCAGTCCTGGGGGTGAGCTGCCCAGCCTTCCCTCACTCTAGGGAGCCCCTGCATACAGATAGCCCTCTCCTTGGGTGCATGTGCCTTGACACAGGGAGACACATGAGGACATGGGTGACTTTGCACAGATCCACCTTCACTGAGGCTCAGAAGCTGTCTTCATCAGAGGATGTTTCAATTATCTGTTGCTATATAACAAACCACGTCAACACTTAGCGGTATAAAACAACAATTTGATTATTCTCATGATTTCATCGGTCAGGCAACACAGTGGAAATGGTTTGTCCCCGCTCTTCAGTGATGGAGACCTCAGCTAGGGTAGCTCTGATGGCTGGAGATGGCTGGAGTGGCTCAGTGAGACCATCTGCCTGTGGCCTTGGTTTTAGCTATTGGTTTGGTTCCTCAGTTTTTCTCCATGTGGCACTTGCTGGGGCTGGAATGTTCAAGCTGGCTTTTTTACTCACACATTGAGTCCCTGGGTCGGGATGACTGGACAGCTGGGGGCTGGTGGGTGCTTTCTCTCTCCATGCTAGCTTGGGCTTCCTCACAGTATGGCAGTCAGGCAGTAGAATTTCTTACCTGGTAGCTGGCATCCCCCAAAGCAAAAGCAGAAACAGCCAGGTCTTTTAACGCTTAAGTCCAAAGCAAGTACAGATTCTATTAGCTAAAGCAAGGCCAACCTAGATTGAAGAGAAGGGAAAGAAGACCCCACTCCTTGGGAGGGAAAGTGGCAAAAATGATCTGTGGCAGCAGATGAAGTGTCTCTTATGAGAAAAGTGTCCACTGCCTGACTGCCATACTGTGAGGAAGCCCAAGCTAGCATGGGAAGAGGTGGAAGTGCTCTTCAGTGATGGACAAATGCAAGCCCCATTGTCACCAAGATGCTGGGTGGCTCTTCCTCTTCCCAATAGAAAGGCAGAAAAAAAAACTGACCTGAAAGGCTCTGCTTAGATCCAAGGGAGAATTTCATTGGCTCTCAAAAGAGAATGAGGAAAGGTGGAGAAAGGTGGAACCTCTGGCTTGGACGGCGCTGCAGATGTCATTTCAGTCCTGGCCATAAAAAGTCGTAAATATGTTTGCTGGTGTTGGGTACATGAGATCCAGAACAGCTTAGACACTTGTGTTTCCTTTAGGGAGAGCAAAAACATGTGCATGAGAAATCACAGAAACCACATTCTAGAAAGTCCTACACTGACCATAAAGGAGTGTCCCAATGCCTCTAGAGCAACTACTTTGCACAGTCAGAAAGCACCATGGCCATGTGGGCTGGAGTTATTCACAAAAGTTGGAGGCGGAGGAATGTCCTGAGTGACTATACTCTAGGGGCTTCCAACCCCCAGATTCCCTCTTCCTCATATTCACTCCAGATCTCCTCTTGGTTTTCTTTCCCATAATGCTGTGTTCCCTGCTTACAGCAGTGGTGGGGGTCTGTTTGCAATAAGAACAGCAGGTCCCTTTGCCTCAGGGCTCCTTGCCGTCCCCTTTCACACCCTCTCCCCATCCCCATGTTCCCAGGATCAAGCAGTGTACCACTGTGAGCATGGAGGACCTGGTGGTGGCCCACCATGAAATGGGCCACATACAGTATTTCATGCAGTACAAGCACTTGCCTGTGACCTTCCGGGAGGGTGCCAACCCTGGCTTTCACGAAGCCATTGGGGATGTGCTGGCCCTCTCCGTGTCTACCCCCAAGCACCTACACAGCATCAACCTGATGAATAGCGATGGTGGCAGCTACGGTAAGAGAAGAACAGGAGATCCTGGTGGGCTGAGGGACCAGGAAGGGGCAGTGAACTTGAAAGGCAGAGGGGAGAGGGGACTTAATGGCCCATAGGCAGAGGCCGGGACAGAGCAATGGGGAAAAAGAAGGCCCCCAGCAGGATAAGACACGAGGATGGAACCCACAGACCATGCCAAGAGGCAGGTCACAGGAGCCAGATAGGTACAGCTCACTCCTTCCCTAGCCACGCTTTGCACACCCATCACAGCCGAGCTGCTAGGACATGGCAGGAGGCAGGTGAGGATCTGATTTGGAATCCCTTTCCTTGGCAGAGCAAGATATCAACTTTCTGATGAAGATAGCACTCGACAAGGTCGCCTTTATCCCCTTCAGCTACCTTATTGACCAGTGGCGCTGGAGGGTGTTTGATGGAGGCATCACCAAGGAGAACTACAACCAGGAGTGGTGGAGCCTCAGGTTCTAGAACATTCCTGTGGGGGTGTGGGTTGGGGACGTCTCCATGGATGTCTGTGTGTTCCTGTGTGTCTCTGTATATAGCATCTAAGTGTGCATTTGTGTGTGTACATGTGCACCTGGGTCTTTGTGTTTAAGTGATGGGATACGTAGGGGTGATTGTGCACAGAGACAGTGCACGCTGGAGTCTGCAATGCCCAGGACAGCCCCAGGTGCAGAGACCATCCTTCAAGTCAAAAATGCCAACCCTCCCTGACTTGATTCTCCCCCATACCCTTTCTCCAATCTGTCTTCCACCTTGACAGGCTGAAGTACCAGGGCCTCTGTCCGCCAGTGACCAGGTCTCAAGGCGACTTTGACCCAGGGGCCAAGTTCCACATTCCTTCAAGTGTGCCTTACATCAGGTAACAAGGGAAGGGGAGGAGGCCGCTCAGTGTCCAGACTGCTCTCGCTGCCACGTGAGGTCAGGGCGACCTGGGAGACCTGCCTGCACTGGACAGTGTGCCTGAGCCACTCACCTGCAACCAGGGCTGACCGTTGTTTCACTTTTTTTATATGTTGAGAGCTTCTACCCTGCACACAGTTGAAAACAGAAATACTATAACTGGTTGATGGTTACAAGACCTGGGCTGGGTAGTTAGCATTATTAACTGTGATCCATGGCTAGATCATGCCCTCAGCACTGCTCCTCTGGTTTTGTTCTTGACAAGATTGTGATTCCTTTACTTTATATAGTGAACATGTTGCCTGTGATATAATGTGAGTTGTTCCTGGAAGACCTTCTATACACTAAAACTAGGAGTAGAGACCCAGTTAGATTGGGAGGCTGTGTCGGTAGAGGTATGGAGTCCTGGGCTTGGAGTCAGACAGAACTGGGTTCAAATCTTGTCCCCACTCTTTTTTTTTTTCCTTAAGTATGTTCCTCGGTGTCTACATCATTTCCTCACCTGTGAAATGGGATTTCACAGGATTGTGGCAAAAGTGAACTTCCGAACATACTGTCGAATACAGAGCAGGCTTGGGAAATGATGGCCATAACCCAACATTATTAAATTGCCCTCTGACGTGCCATGTGTAAACCCACTGGCGCAACAAGTCTGCTGCAGCAGCACGAAGGTGTCCGGTGCAGCCCTTTCCCCTCGCTGCATACGGGCTAAATGGGTAACTGCAGGATCTGGAGTCCTCTTGGGCGGCAGGGGTCTGGGGAGGCCTCGGGTGGAGTTCCAGGTGCCCTGGACTGCAGGTAGCACAGGCCACCATGAGGCAAGGCGCAGAGGGCTGTGAGGGCTGCCCCAGGAGGGCTGTGCCTCCTCCAGACCTGCCTCCGATGGTCCCTGGAAGCCCACTGACGGAGGGCCCACTGTGGCCGCCTTTCCGCCCCAGCAGCCAGCATGACGTCAGCACAGAGTCAAGGTCTAATTAAGTGTGAAGTGAATTGTGTCTCCCAGGGTCCAGCAAGGGCAAGAGCCTGCTCAGATGCTCCAGAGAGCAGCAGTGGGCAGGGACCGAGGAGATTCAAGGACACCTGGGAACAGGCCTGACCTCGACAGGGTGCCAGGATGACCCGTAGGGAGGGCTTCCACCCGCCTTCTCCGCTGGTTTCCAGACTTCCAAGCTGGCATTCACTTTCACACAGAAGCCAGGCCCACGTGGTTCGCTTCCGAGCTTAGCACAGATAATTCTCCAGGCAGGGCTGGGCGAAGGAGACTCATTCCCAATTCTGACCAGCAGCTTTGGCAAAGCACTTTTAGGAAAGTCAGTGGCACATGGCTTGTGCCCCGCATTCAAAGTGGGAGGCCTGTGTTGTTTGTTTGGGACATTCAGAATCCCTGCGGACTTAGAGGTTGTCCAGCCTTGACCAGCTGGTTTAAACCAGGGACTCCCTGCTGCTTTGGGATCAAGGAGATCATGGGCTGGCTGCCCTGCTCAGAGCCCTGCCAGACAGACGTGACCCTTTGGGCAGCACCTGGCCTCTGCTTGCACATACCCCAGGGACAGAGACCTCACTGTCTACAGCAGCCTGCCCTGACCCTCCTCACCCATGAGTGAAGGGGGCCTGGAGGCCAGGCTGGGTTCACCCTGACACCCTGGCTGCAGTGAGGCTGGGGGGTATCAGGGGCTGCAGTGGGAGGCTGGGGGATCAGGGGCTGAGGTGTATCAGGGGCTGAGGGGGGAGGCGTGGGGAGCAGGGGCTGAGGTGGGAGGCTGGGTATCAGGGGCTGCAGTGGGAGGCTGGGTATCAGGGGCTGCAGTGGGAGGCTGGGGTATCAGGGGCTGTGGCACAGGCTCCTCCCCCAGCCACGCCTCCCTCCCCTCCAGGTATTTCGTGGGCTTCATCATCCAGTTCCAGTTCCATGAGGCACTGTGTCAGGCGGCTGGCCACAAGGGCCCCCTGCACCAGTGTGACATCTACCAGTCCAAGGAGGCAGGGAAGCGCCTGGCGTGAGTCTGCCCTGGGCTTCCTGTGGCTGTTCTCTGCCCTCTGACCCCTCAGCCTCGAGGAGCCCGTGGGACTCTTCTGGGAACACCTGCTGTTTGGTGCTTGGGCTGGGAACTCCCAGGTGGAGCCTATGAGTGGTGACGAGCCCTCCCCCGGAGGGAACCAGAGCCTCCTGGGCCCAGGCCACCCCTCGCCCAGCCCCGTGTTGAGGGGGGGAGAGGGAGGCTAGGCTGAGGCAGGAGGGGCAGTGAGCCTCCCCACCGGTCCTCTGACTCAGTGTCCCTTCGCTGGTGCTGCCCAGGGACGCCATGAAGCTGGGCTACAGTAAGCCATGGCCCGAAGCCATGAAGCTGATCACGGGCCAGCCCAACATGTCGGCCTCGGCCATCATGAACTACTTCAAGCCGCTGCTGGACTGGCTCCTCACCGAGAACGGGAGGCACGCGGAGCAGCTGGGCTGGCCTCAGTACAACTGGACTCCGGACTCCGGTACCAGCACCCCCTCCTCTGCCCCGGTGGCCCCACCCCAGCCCCTGCCTAGAGAAGCCTAGGGAAGCCGGCCGCAATGCCCCCTGCCCAGCCCCTGCCCGCCACCCTGCCCTGCCCTCTGCCCTGCCCACCTCCCTGCTTTCCTTGCTTCTGCTCAGCTCGCACAGAAGGCTCGTACCTGGGCAATGGCCGAGTCAACTTCCTGGGCCTGAACCTAGAGGAGCAGCAGGCCCGTGTGGGCCAGTGGGTGCTGCTCTTCCTGGGCGTCGCCCTGTTGGTGGCCACCTTGGGCCTCACCCAGCGGCTCTTCAGCATCCGCCACCACACCGTGCACCGGCCCCACCGCGGGCCCCAGTTCGGCTCCGAGGTGGAGCTGAGACATTCCTGAGATGAGGGGCTGAGCGGGCCAGCTGGGAGCATCCGCCACTGAGACACTGGGATAGGGGCCCCATACCCCGGCTCCTCTCACTGCTCACCCCGCCCTCCCTCCTCCTCCTGCCCTGACCCTCCTCCCCTCCTGCCTCTAGTCCTGTGCTGGGAATCCGTCCTTCAGAGCCAGAGCCACTGCAACCCCCGCCCCCATCCCCCCGTCCCTGGGCACCAGGCCATCTAACAAGGAACCCCCTCCCAGTCTCTCTGTGAATACAATTAAAGGTCCTGCCCTCCCATCTGAGTCTGTGTCCCTCGCTGGGAAGTCAGGAACAGGGTCAGGGATGCTCTCCCACCTCCTGGCAGTCAAACGGGTCACTTCAATGGGTGTCCTCATCCTCCTCCAAGAAGAGCCTGGGAAAATGCCCCAGAGCTCTGGCCTGGGCACCACCCCGCAGCGCCCACGCCTGCCTTCCCTCCAGCCCAGGCAATCAGCCAGTGTCCTGCCTTGGCAGTCAGCCCCTGCCTGGCCAGGGCACCAACCCAGGAGGACTCTGGGAAGCAGGCATTCTGGCCTTCCCACCTCACATTTCCATGTGCTTTGGGAGTCCTACCCCAGCTGTTCCCATAAATGGTCAGGTCCCCAGCAGGGAGGCTTCCCTGGGGGAAGGTGCTTTGCATGTTCCTGACTCATTGAGGGCACAGAACTGGACCCATGGCCACCTCCAGCTCCTACCCGCACCAGCTCCATGTCCACTTACCAGTATGTAAGTGGACGGAGCCGCTTGAGTATTGCCCGTGGGGCCCACGGCCAAGTCCCTTTGCCCCCGCTGGAGGAGGGCCCTAAATGCTGGCGCAGGGCAGGAACCAGAGCCCACCCAGCAATTAACTGCCAGGAGCTGCCCCTGCCTGTGGCCCCAGCGCACGCCCTCACCCTGAGCCTCCCGTCAGAAGGCTGATATGGATCTGAGGGAGTGTCATTTTGAGGGACACATTTTCATAGCTTTTATCTATGTTTACTGTAGAAAATTTGTAAAATCCAGACTTTAAAGAAATAAAAACCCTTTATGTTGATACCAAGAGATAAGCACTGTTGACATGTTGGTGTATATCTTTCCAGCCCGTTTTTCTCAGCCCAGAGTTTGAATGGGATCACACTGTACTTAGTTGTGAATCCTTTTCCCCCACTAACAGGACCAGATGTATTTTTCAAATATGTAAATGCCAAACCTGGAATCTAGCCAAGTGGAAGTGGGTCAGTTTCCAGGGCCATGGGCTTCCACAGCCAGCCTGGCCCCCTCTTTCAAGACCCTCTGCCCTGAGCCTCTTCCCAGCTTTGTGGACGCCTTGACCCCTGCCAGATCCAACCCCTAATACCTGTCCCCCAGTATTCTTTTTGCTCCCCCATCTTCGGCTGCCATGTGTGTGCTTGTATCAATACTTGTGTGTGCATATATCTGCGTGTATCTGTGTGTGTGTGTGTTGCACGTAGACGTGTTTGTACAGCCCTGTTCCATGGGGCAGGATGTGGAGTTGAGGTATTTGGGATATGCAAGAGGGTGGAAGTTTATAATTACTTAGGGAAATGGAATTTATAAACATATTCTCTAAATAGTTCCAAGCCTCTCCATCAATAGACTTAATTACCCCCGCCCCAGCCTGATGTTTTGAAAGCCCTTTGTCTTCCAGGCAGAGGTCATTGTCACATCATCCCCTTTCCTGTCTCCCTGAACTGCAGAGGCTCACACTGCCTGTGAGAGTGTGTGGGCAGGGTGAGGGCACTAGCATTCAACACCCAAAGGTCTGAGCTGCAGAATGAGGGCAAAGAAACATAACATTGTGGTCAAGCCTGGCCAGCCTTACCCACCAGGCCTTTTGAAATATTTAAATTGTTCAGACTTCCTGTTGCTGCCTCCTTGGGTGATGGGGAGGAGGCCCAGTCTGCCCGGAAGGTGGCAGAAGAGGAGGTGTTGACAGCAGGAAGACAGGTCATTCCAGCATTCAGACTCCTGGTGGCTCAAGTCTGAGCCCTTCCCCGTGCTGAGCCTGCCAGGCATCGGCTCCGGGGTGACCAGCCTTTTCTTTACCTGCGTGGGTCAAAGGTGGTTATGGTTGCTTGACAGTTTCTCCCCACCCCCTCCCAAACCCCATACTTGACAGATGAATGGACTATGAAAATGTGACTACATATACAACAGCGTGGATGGACTTTGAGGGCATTGTGCTAAATGAAGTCAGAGAAAGACAAATACTGTATGATTTCACTTATATGTGGGATAAAAAAAAAAAAAACTTATAAAGAGAACAAATTGGTAGTTGCCAGAAGTGGAAGCTGGGAGGGTGGGTGAAATGAGTGAAGGTGGTCAAAAGGCCTAAACTTCTGGTTATAAGTCCGGGGATGTAATAATGTACACATGGTGACTATAGTTAACAAAAAAAATACTACGTTTTATGAATCACTGAAGCAGGAGGAGAGAGTTCCCTGAAAGTTTAGTCAGTTTAACCAGAAGTGCCACGGATTTTTCTGTTATGTTTTAAATTTTTACTATAACAGGTCATAACTGGAGGGCTGTTTGGTCAGTTTCTCTGGTAATAATGTCAACTTGTGTGAAGGGGTGTGAGGCTGTGGGTGCACTGGGCTGAGGAGGGTGAATGGATGGGACATAGGAGGAGGGAGTCTGGGTGTGGAGGAAAGTGACTCTGGAGAAGGAATCGTAGCCCTGGGTGGTGTGGCTCAGTTGGTTGCAGTGTCATGCTGTACCCCAAAAGGTGGCAGGTTCAATTCCAAGTCAAGGTGAATGCCCAGACTGCAGGTTCAATCCCTGGCAGGGCATATGCGAGAGGCAACCAATAGATGGGAGGCAACCGATAGATGTTTCTCTCTATCTATCTATCTATTTATCTATCTCTATCTCTATCTCTATCTCTATCTCTATCTCTATCTCTATCTCTATCTCTCGCTCTCACTCTTCCTGCCCGCCCTCCTGCCTTCCTCTCTTAAAGAAAAAAAAAAGAGCCCTGATTCTCCTCTTGGCTCTGTCACTCACTAGCGTGTGAACTAGGTCCTATGTTCACCATGTGGATCTCAGCCTCCTTACCTGTAAAATGAAGACAGTTAAACCAGAAGGTGGGTGGGGCTTTCCAGCTCGGACATTCCCTGGCTGACCCTTTAGCCCCTGATGTCACAGTATGGAGCCAGATCATGACTGACTTATAGCTCCACCCAGCTTTGCTGTTCTCTTATCGTGGACACAGATGGACTTGCCCTGGACCTTCCCTACTTGCCATGGAGCGAGGGAGAACAGAGCTCAGGTGGTGCATGGGATCGGACAAGGAGAGCAGCAGGGGCAGGCCGCTCCCAGGACAGTTTAATGCCCACTTCCTTCTCTGCAGACAAGCTCTACAATGAGACCGTGGCAAAGTCATTCCTCAGTTGTATGAGCATACAGCCCAGACTGTGTAGAACCAGTTCATGGAGGCCACCTGCAGTATGTCACCAGCATCACCAAGAAAAATCAAGAAGAGATGGGATAGCACTTGCATCCCAGCTCCTTCTCCCCTTGCTCTGCTCAGGGGCCTCGGGAGGTGTGTGTGTGTGTGTGTGTGTGTGTGTGTGTGTAGGGGGAGCTACACCTTCTGCCCCCTGTCCAGAGCTACAGGAAAGAGAGAAGTCCCAAGTCTCCATGCCCTTGGTGACACTACACACTCTCTGGACAAGAATCTCTCACTGCTTTCCTCTTGTAACTATTTCCTACTTGCTTTTAGAAACCCAGACTTTCTCTCTTCTCCCTCTTACCAAATCTTCAATGATTCTGAACTCTTAAAGCGGGCCCTGGGAGGAGGTTGGGGGGTTGTGGCCCTGGAATTCAAAGCGGGGCCCTTACTCCCTCCCCTCACTTCCCATGACAAATACGGTGACCCTCCTCCCAGCTGCACCAGGAGGAGAGCTCCCAGCACATGCTGTACTTTGGCACCCGGGCCTGTCTGTTAAAGAGCGCCAGGGCCCAGGACCCAACCGTGAAGCGCATGCTGAGTAAGCTGCAGAACATAGGCAAGGCAGCCCTGCCAGACAAGCTCCAGGAGGTGATGACCGGAATCCCCAGGCCTCCAGGCACCTGCTCCCCGCACCCAGGGGTTCATGGGCTGGCTGGTGGGGAACCAGGGCAGAAGCGAGGTTGGCAGGGCAGGGTCAAAGCATCCTCTGGGGAGGAAGGAAGCAGAGGCCGGTGGGAAGATGCCTCCACCATCTAGTGGGGCTAGCCCATGGCTCAAGTTTCTGGCCACAGCATGGTTTGGGGCGACTATGAAGGGCCTGCTAGCTCTGCTCAGGCCTTTATGTTTATTTGAGCCTTTACAACCCATCGTCATTCACAGAGGCAGAACATGCGCCTCACGGCCACACAGCAGCCCTGCGGTGGCAGACCTGGGCACTCAATCCTTTGTCCTTTCACCCGCCCACCCCTGCGCCAAATTCAGGACCAGGTCTCACCAGTGGGATTGGCAGAATCTTGGCCTTGTACCTTTCCTAAGGGCACATCTCACCAGCTATTGGAAGCACCTGGAGGAGCCCTTTTCCTTCTTCTGTGGACACACCCACCACCGCCTGAACGATGGAGACTAGGGGCGGAGGGAGAGGGGTGGCGAGCCTCCAGGCCTTAAACAAAACCCTGTCACCTGGAAGAGGAGCCTCCCAGCTCTCTGTCAAGCTCAGAGGGTGATCCAGAGGTGCTAGTGAGCCAGCAATAAAACAGTGAGCCTTTTCGTAGACTGTGTCTCATCCCAAGGATTGGTCATTTTATCCACATTTTACAGACGCGCCCCCTCCACCCCCCACCCCCCACGCCGTTTGACAACAAGGTTCAGTGACAATTAGTCACCGTCACACAGCTTGGAAGGGCAAAACCAACCCTGAGCCTGGAAGAGATTGGGATCTGTCAGTGACCAGTTCCAAGTCCTGCCACCAGTTCTCTGACCTCTAAATCTTGGTTTTCTCGTCTGTAGAATGAGAATCATAGCAATGTTGTGCCACAGGGATGTGACTGTATTCCTGGTACTGCTTGCTAGACCTAATGACCTGTTGACTGGTCTAAACTGGCTCCCATCATTAGGATGCAGGTAGGGACCTTGCCTGGTGGTTCCCTCCTGTGTCCCCAGAATAGGGTCCGTGTTGAGAGTTCCTAGCATAGAGGCCACACTCAGTCAGTGTTTACTGCTGTTATTATTTTATTCTGATTCCCAGTCCCATGTGTTTTCAACTCATTTATTTTAATAAGTAAAAATGCATTGTGTCCTCTGCACGCTGGGTCCAGTCTTGATAGCTGAGAACCCTACTGAACAGCACCCCTTGTCTTCTCCCCCAGGTCGAAGCACCAGGGCCAGTGTCCCCATCCCTCGAACAGAGGATGAATCTGATCCGGTGCCAGTTTCCACATCTCTGCCAACGTGCCCTACATACGGTAAAGGTCTGGGCCCTGCCAGCAGGACCAGCTTGGGGACTTGGAGGTTGGGGACTTGAGAACCATCCAAGGACTTCCAGGAAGGCCCTAATCCCCCTGCATCCCCTCCCATCTCTTACCATCAGGTCCCAAGCCTTCCGAGGGCCCGCCCCGGAACCGCTAGGGCTTTTATATCAGATCCTGTGGGGAGGACAGAGGAATAGTCTAAAGCACCTGTGCTGTCCCCGAGGGGAGGGCAGGAGGGAGGGAGGCAAGGGTTGGTTCAGAGACTGAGTTCAGAGGCTGAGGAGGAGCGTCCTTGCAGTATCCGAGGGCCAGCCTGCAGTGGGAACCTCCACCGGAGCTCTGGCTGCTGACTGGGACTTCGTGGCCACTGCTGCTCCCATCAAAGGATACTGGTCTGGTGAGGTTAAACCTGGGGCTACTGGTTTCAAGACCAGCACTCCAACCACCGACATGGTCTTTTCCCCACTGATTTTCAACTAATTTCCATAGGTCCATTTCCCTAATTGGTCAAGATCATCTTGAGTTTTAGTCCTGTCTCCCAGAGGATTAACAAAGCCACACATTTCACATCCTTTGCAAATGTAATGAGCATATCTGTGATCCCTCCATGCAGTTTGTCA